AAAACCAAGAAATAATTATGTTGTGTTCATTGCCTTCCTCTTATAAACAGCTGGTGACTACTCTTACATGTGAGAAAGAAACAATCAAAGTTGTTGAGATTACTGCAACATTGTTGGCTCACAACCAGTGGAAGTAGAATGCAGGAAAAAGCTCCAATAGTGATAGTTTATATTTTATGAGTAATCAAGAACTTGGATAGAAGAAAGAGAGGGAGGGTTCTGGAAGACGAAATTCCAGATCAAAGTCTATAGGCAGAAAGATGATTCATAGCTACAAGTGCAAGGAGTCGGGTCATATGAAGAGAGATTATCTAAAGCTCAAGAAGCAAAATGGGGAGAAACGTGATGTATCATCCAAGTCTGTAAATGTGGTGCAGAGTGACAATTCAGATTGTAGTAATAGTGATATGCTTTCAATTTCATCAAATCAGTTCATAAATGCATGGATTCTTGATTCAGGATGCTCTTATCTTAGAACACATAAAAGGGAGTGGTTTACTTCATACAGGTAATCTAATTTTGGCTCTGTCTATTTAGGTGATGAAAGTTGTTGCAATATTATTAGTATTGGTGATGTCAGGATTAAGATGTATGATGATAGTATTATAACATTATGTGATGTCCGACATATTCCAGATCTGAAGAAGAATTTGATTTTTTTGGGCACTTTACATATAAATGGTTTTATTCCTAAAGCAGACGAGGATAGGGAAACCATAAGAATTGTTAAAGGTGCACTGAATGTGATGAAAGGAAATTTAACTGCATGAAATATCCACAAACTATTGGGGAGTACGGTTGTAGGTGGAGTTCATTCTGTGGAGTCAGATAATGATAATACAAAACTATGGCACATGCGTTGTTGACCTCACTTTTATGAGAACCTACCCAAAATTGACATTTATAAATAAGACATATCTTGAGCTATCCACATTAGCTCAGTATCTCTAGACACCCTCCTAAAAATCTAAAGATCATCAAGACCATTAAATCTGTCTTGGGGAGGGTCGACCAACATTGACTTCTTCAACCCATCTAGAGTTCCCTAACCCTAAAAATTAGACCAAATCTTTAAGGTGCCTTATTTGAACCCAAATCACGATGACACCCTAAGTTGATCAAATCAATGATGATAAGCCCTGATTTGGTCACCATATTGACCACGTGGTCAGCCTTAGATCCAATAGTCACCACATTAACCATTAGGTCAACCTTAGACCCAATGGTCACCCCATATTGACCATTTGGACAACTTTAGACCCAATAGTCACCACATTGACCATTTGGTCAACTCTGAACCCAATGATCACTAAATCGAACATTTGGTCAAACATAGGACCTAATTGGTCAAACTTGGTCATGAGTCAACTTTAGGACCTAATTGGTCAAATTTGCTAGGACTCAATTGGTCAAACTTGGTTAATTGGTCAACTCTATGACTCAATTGGTCAACCTGGGTCAACTTGGACTTAAGTTTGGTCAAAATGGATCTTGGACCCAATGGTCACCACATTGACCATTTGATCAACTCTATACCCAAATGATCACCATATTGACCTTATGATTATTCCAACCACCATATGGTCAAATTGACCATCATGATCAACCTTTTTGTTCAACATGGTCAAACCAAACTATATTATAAAATCCAATATCCCCATGACTAACTCAACTATCACATGGTCAAAATGAGTCATCATGGTCAACCTCGGGACCTAATTGGTCAACTCCATTTTTATGTCAAAATATGGTCATTTAATCAAATGATTTTATTCTCTTAATTAATTAATCATTTAATTAATTGAAGGAGTGAAATTAAAAGATATTAAACCTAGGATTTAAGCCTAAAATCATGACCTAAGTCCATAGCAAAATAAGCCCATGACAAACCTAAGTCCATCTTTTGAACTTAAACCCTAAATGCTACACATGAAGGATTGTTAATGGGTCACCCATGACTCATGAAATCCCTCACGGAATACCCAAGACCCATGAAAACCCCATTAAATGCATCTAGCCAAAATTTTTTACCAAAGTTAAACATCATCATGAGAGAAGGCTATGTGTCATTCCTTATCACATACTTTCAGCTTAGGTGGAGGGTTCAAGCCAACTCATCTATGGGCTCCTCTCCACCACATCATTCCCACAATAGAAGGAAGCTAAAGCCATGATCTAATCTTCCCCTTAATGGAAGCTAATCAGGGGTATGACTTAGGGAAGCTTAACCATGGCTATCCTTAGCCAGAAACTTATCTCTAACCAACATGAGCTGCTCACCTTCATCCTCAAGCAATCCTATGCTTATCCAAGGCCTCTCATGGATATTTAAGGAGCCAACCTGAGAGCCCCCCATGAGCAGTGAACCATAGATACAGACCTCTAACCCTGAAACTCTCAACGCCAAATTTATACCCCCTCTTCTAAGCAAGCAATCCCAAATAGTTTCAGCCTCTAAAACTCATCAAGAAGCCCCAATTTCCCACTCTAAAAACAGGACGCTTTTTTGGGTTAGCATAAACCCTACCAAAATTCCATTTCAATCATCCCAGAAGCTTCCCCAAGCCTCACGAGGAAGTTTCCAATCCAAGTTGTCCCTCCCTAAAAGCTCTAACCTACTCCAAGCTAAAACCATGAACCCATTTCAACAAGAACATGCCTTGACCTAATTTCATTCCAAATTGGACTCAGGAGGAGCTTCACAAAGACCTAGATACCATTCCTATCAAGATTGATTGAGGATTCACCTCTCAAGACCAGGTATGAACAATTAACCCTAATTTTTGCTCGAATTTGAGACAATGTGAAGAAGATCATCACAACATGGCTAAGTGTCTGTATGTATATGTTTGTTATGATGCGATGAAGCTTTAGGAACAAAAATAATTAAGTTTGGTGCAAGATCTGTGGAAATCTTACGCCCTAAACATGAACGGATTATAGAAAACAGGCGTTGGGGACTAAATTATTGATGTTTCTTTCCTTAATCTTGACACTAAAAATTTCTTAGAGAATGAGTGTTAACGTTAATAAGAAGTTTTCTTAGATAGTCATAATTGTCTAAGATGTAATTAACTATATGATCTTGCTCCTATAGGAGAATGAAGAACTCGAAATATGTAATATACCTATATCTCTGGTTATTAAGTTTTTTATGTGGTTTTCCTTATACGAGAATCTCAGAAATTGGATATTCTAGAATTTTCTCTTCAATGTTGACCACAATGAAAATTATCCCTATATTTCCTTTTTCTACTATTTTCTATTTTTATTAGCTCTTTTCCTTCTTTCTCCGAATTTATTAACATCTGAGAATCCTTCACATGATTCAAAAGAATAAGTTACTTAAAGAATAGGGCAATATGATAGATAAACAGAGTGGCAACTCCTTGAAAATATGATACCAAAAATTGACATCGATATGAGGGAATTGTCGGTGACAGCAGCAACAGTTCCGGGCGACGACAATCCCATTGATTGATATTATTTTTTGATATCATTATTTTAAGGGCATAAACTTATAAACTTTAATTTATAATATGAAAGGTAAATAAGATTTTTTTTGCATGGGAGGCCAAAAATGTTATTGCAACATGGTTTGAATATGAGAGTTCACTAACTTTATATGATTTTATAGTTATAAACTACAAAAAATAGTTTTGTGGAGCTTTAGAGTTGTGCCCAACCTTTTGTCTTCTCTCATATAATAAAATAAAATTAACAAAAAATTGGCCTTCTTTGATTAATGAAGCCAAGCAATTTTTAACAACTAACTTTATGACTTTTACATTAATAAATTATAGAGTAAATTGAGAGCCTTTAAGATATTTTTTTATGAGAAATTTAGGGACATCGTCATCTCAATATTAAAAAAAGGTAATTTACCTTAATTCATCTATTTTCCTTTGATCAATTATCATTTATTACTTCTTAAAAAAAAAAGCAAATGAACTTATATTAATCATCCTTTCTACTTTGATTGTAATCAAAATATCAATCATAATTTAAAGTAATTTTATCTTGAGTTATAACGACTTTATTAATCGATATTGTAATGACTTCATGAAATTGCAATCAATATATGCTTCCTTTTTTTTTGGGATATTTTTTATAGATAGAACAACTTTACATCTTCGAATTTTTAGATTAATGGAAGTGAATATGCTATATTTATTGATTGCATATAATCAATCACCTAGTCACACAATTATTTTAAAATTACTTTATATTCTTTGATATTTTATAGAATTATTTAGAAATCACTTGTATTTATGAAAATTTAATAGCTATATATGATATAATGTGATATACAAGTAAATTTATTTCTAGAAAAAGATATTTTCAATCTATATATGAAAATGAATTGGGAATTGTTGTGTCATTGAGTCTTGCAATATTTTGGATTGATTGATTTTAAACTTTCATTGCACATTGGCACTCATTAAAAAGTAAAGCAATAAAAGAATATAAAATCAGCCACCTTTTTATTTATGCCATGGAGTCTGGCCAATCATATTCTCCACCAAATAACACAATTCATAGATAAATTGTTTACAAAAGTAAAATAAAACCACACACATGCTATATAAGAAGAAAAGATGTTAGCTTTATTGCCATACTTCAAAGCCTACACCTCTAATAATGAAGACATCCTTCTCCTTACCTATATTTCTAAAAGGATGTCAAAGGACAATAACTTTTTTTGTCCGCCCTAAAATTCTAAATTTGCTATAATGATGAAACAATCATTGACAACATAATACAATATTCATTGAAACTCTCACACAATAAAATGAAATACAAATTTGAAAGAAATATGGCATACAAGTTTGATAGATAAAGTAATATTAGGATACCCTTATACTAAAATGAAAGGGAAAAGCTGTTATTTAAAATAAGAAGACTTGATATTAAAAATAAATAAATAAAATAATCCAATGGATTACTTTTTAGTAAGATAAAATTTGAACATTTTGTTTTTCATATCAGTTGTCTTCTTATTTTAAATATATTTTTTCAAATTTAATCTTTTACTTTTATGGTTTCCATTCGACAGACACAGGGCTCCTCACCCTGTTGCCTTCCTCCTCTTCACCCACCCAAATGATCTCCCCTTCACTATATCCCTCTGTCTTGTCCTTTCTCCTTGACATAAACCAAACTAGATAACTTCTCTTATCATTTATCGCTCCAAAGTTCAATCTTTTAGGCACCACTCTCACCCTCACTCCCTTTGGTGGACTCACCTTCACGAAATAAGTTGAATTAATCTTCCCCACATTACTTGCTGTCCTCCTCGTCATAATCACATTTGTTCCTCTCTTAAACTCCACAGAAATGGAAGGATAGTTCAAACTAAACCACTTGTTCTTTTCCTTAATGTCACCACAATCCACAATCCTACGCAAGCAGAACACAAATCAAGTTAGATGAATTCGAATTGAATGTATAATGATGCTTAACAAATGCTTTGATATTATGTTTTTGATGATTTTAGTTGCATATAACAATTTTTTTTAACACTTTGATGTCATAATGTCTTTTAAGTAACATATAAATTAAAAAAATAGTCACAAACTAGCTAATAAATTTCATTTATTATCAGGCTTGCTTATGTAAACAAGTTGGTCACAAACAATCATTGATCATAAAAGTTTTAACTAAAAAAATGTAAAGAGCTTCTAATATATTTTTACATGTAAGATGCCTAAATAAAATAAGAAATACATAATAATTTAAATTTTATTTGAAATTTTATGTATTAAAAAATTATTTTATTTTAATTATATATAATTTTCTTACCGGTGTGTGATAGCAAACATCTCGGACTTCGTATACCCAAGCGAGCACAAATGAATAACATAATCTTCTGATTCAATATCATAAACCAGTCCCGGGTCCATAGCCCTGCTCGGATTAATATGACCTGCTCCCATGGCAAATATATTGGCAGGTTCGACCCCATCCATTATCGGTTTTGCATATCGGTCCAAAACATCGGCCGTTGTCATAATAGCTGACCGGACAGCCGCCGGACTCCAGCTTGGATGCGCAGCCCGAACCAGTGCTACTATCCCGCTCACATGCGGGCATGCCATAGAAGTCCCCGAAAGAATACTAAAATTCGAACGCCTGTGATCATCGGCAAGGCCAGATGGGCCAAGGTTTTCGGGCCAAGCTGCGATGATATTGACCCCCGGGGCAATTATATCGGGCTTTAGAACGGAGGGGATCGTTAGGCTTGGGCCGCGTGAGGAGAAGAGGGCGCAATGGAAGGAGCACGTGACCTGCCGGTGGTGGCGGTGGCGGCAAAGATGATTCGAGCTTTAGGGATTTTAGTGGAATTGATGAAGGACTTGAGTTGGATGGATTGGTTGAAGCCGATGAGAGTTGAGGGGAGAACGTGAGCGTCGAGGGAGTCTTCTTCTTGATTTATTTCAGCATTCGCGAGAATCATGGCGGCGCCGCCCGCTTCTTTGACAGCTTGACCTTTTTCGGCACGCCCATTGACTCCGCGGTCGCAGATGACAATTTTCCCTTTGACTTTAGATTTTGAAAGCGAGCCCCTTCATGAAATCGAAATCACAAAAGTATAAATTTTATGTGTATGGAGTATTTTTTAGTATTGTAAAAGTAGAATATGAAATATATTCATTTTTATAACGTGTTCTATGAGTATCCACAGTTAAAAATATGTTTAGTGAATAAAATTTTATGTCTAAAAATTAAATTTAATGGAAGTATAAAATTACAGAGTAAATTGTGATTCTTTTTTAAGCTTATTTAAGAAATTAATTCTAAATATTATTTAAATTTGGCTCATCAATGTGCTGAATAAGCTAAACTTACAACATGTCAAGTTCAAAACATAATATAAATTTGAAATAATTTTCCTTAAGAGTATGTAATGTATAATATATTATTTTTGTAAATAAAATGTTTGAACTTGTAAAATGTATCAAAATATAATCATTCAATGAGTAAGAACAACTAAAAACTTTCAATAAAATTAAAAAGATCGAGTTTTTAAAATATATTTATCTGATTTTCAGAACAGTACCTGAAACAGAACTCAGCTCCCCTGTTCCCGCCATTCTCATAAACCAGCTCCAGCTCCGGCACCTTCCCGCCATTATTTGAAAATCCCGTAATAGACTCCCCATAAAGAAGTCGACCGTTAGCCAACCGTACAGCAGCCGGGAACCGGCGGTCCATCGTGCTGGCGCCAACCGTTGTAATCCACGGCGCTTCATTCGCGACAGAGCTCGCAGCAGGGCCATTATTTCCCCCAGCGCAGACGACAGCCACCCCTCGCTCGACAGCTCGAAAGCTTCCAATGGCGATGCTATCCTCAAACAATGGCATAGGAAAACCTCCAAGTGAGAGAGAAAGCACATCAACACCGTCATGAACGGCGTCATCCATTCCAGCGAGAATGTCGGAGCTATAACATCCATTATACCAGCACACCTTGTAAACGGCTATGTGAGCTCCCGGAGCCATGCCGGTCGCCATTCCAGCTCCGGCGCCAAGCACACTAGCGCACCTTGTAAACGGCTATGTGAGCACCCGGAGCCATGCCGGTCGCCGTTCCAGCTCCGGCGCCAAGCACACTAGCGCCACTTACGGAGGCCCCGCCGGCGGTGGAGGAAGTGTGTGTCCCATGGCCATGAGCATCGCGGGGGGAAATGTATTCAAATGCGGCGGTGCCGGCGGCCGGAGAATTGGCACGGTGACCCTTGGAGTAGAATCTAGCACCGATGAGCTTACGATTGCAGTTAGTGGAGTTAAAGTTCTCGCCAATTTGGCAACTTCCTTTCCACCTGGAAGGGATTGGCGGCATGTGGTGGTCAGAAAAGCTAGGGCTTTCCGGCCAGACTCCGGTGTCAAGGACTCCAATGATGGCACCACGGCCGAATTTGGAGCCAGTCCAGAGCCCTGGAGAACCGGCGGTGCCGGCGAGGTTGAGAAATTTGTAGGAGTAGGTGGTGTGAAGTTTGAGATAGCGATCGGGGTGGACGGCAATGACGCTGGGGGAGTTGCGGAGAGCATCAGCTTCATCAGGGGAGAGAAGAGCGGCGAAGCCGATGAGGGTGGTGTGGTAGGAGTAGAGCAGGCGGGATGAAGAAGGGAGGAAGGAGAGGTGCCATTGATGATGGTTGGAGGTGGTTTGGGACTTGGGATGGAGCTGGATGATGAAGGGTCGGAGGTCTTGTGATTGAAACAGGGGAGGGAAGAATGAGAAAAAGAAGAAGAGAATGAGGAAGGGTAATGGGTTGTGTTGCTCCATTGGAAGTTGGTGGTTTCGGAGAAGGAAAGGTGAGGTTTTTTAAGGGAGGGGAGAGCGGGAGAGGCATTTGCAGAGTGGGAGAGGAAACTCGTGAGCAGGATCTTCTGTGTTTTCTGGGAGCTGAGATGTCTCACGGGATATTTTGGTTGGATTTATTACAGTGCTGGCTCTTTTTTCTGCTTCAAATGTGTGCGTTTGAAACGGACATGGAGACAGAGAGAGATAGAGTACTGAATTTATTACCAGTGGTGAGATTTTTGAACTCCGTGGATTTAAACTTGGAAGTTCGAAGGGTGTGTGAGGCAAAGAGATTCTTGATGTAAGGACGAATTGAATGGAAGGAGATTCTGCAATTAATTTCTTCTACCTTACTGGTGTTAATGGAATGCCTCTATCAGGCTTTCGGAGTTGGGAGCTGGCAGAGGAAAAAATATTATGCCAGGACTCTGAGCGTAGAGCTACGTTCGGATTACAATAGTAGCTGTGTTATAAAAATATTTCATGAGCGTTATTTGTGAAAAATGAAATGTTATTGAAATATTCTCTTGTTTTACTTGATTTGATTTAGTATTATGTTATTCCAATAACATAATGAAAATTGAAATATCACGGAGAATATACTGAATAATACAACCCCAAATCAAGTAACCCGGTGAATATTCTAATAACACCGCAAATTAATCGAATAACACCACATAATTCTCGAATAACGCTTCATTTTTTTACAAATAAAACTGATGGAATATTCATGTAACACAGCGGGATATTCATATAACGCAACGACTATTGGAATCCGAACGTACATTTACGTTCGAAGTCTTGACGTAATATGCGCTCTAGGCAAAGAGAGGGAGAAAGAGAGAGGTAGGATATTAACATATGAGCCTTGGTTAGGATTTTATTTTAGCAAAGGAAGGCTTAAAAATATTTGAGAGTTGAAATGGGAGAAATTATTATGTTGCTTGCCTGATATCGCTATGTGCGTTTTAAATGTAAGGTAAGTGTAAATAAATTTAGAGAAGTTTTATTACCTAGTACACAAATCATATGTATTTACATATCTCACACAAAACTTTTCATATTTATATACTTAGTATATTGGTGTTTTAAATTTATATATATATATATATATATATATTAAAAATCTGTATTTCATTTTTATAAAATGATAATAGTTATATTATTGATGAGCTATTAAATATTTGCGTATCATGTGCGTAAATATAAAAGTGAGGTGAGAAATTTAAGTGCATAAGAATTGTGTGCTATGCATGTAAATGCCCCATAAATTTATATTTCTCAAAAATTGAGCTTGAGCAGTGAATTTGGGTGGTTAAGGGTGGTTGGGTTAAGCTCAAAAGATATCAAGGAAGCTTTGGAAGCAATTTGACTGAGTTTCCCCAAAGAATTTCAAGCTTACCCCCTTGGAAATGGAGGGGGGTTTAAATAGAAGGGCTTGGAGAGGCCACTAGGGGCAATTAGTGGATGTTTATGGTTGTTTAGGTGCAGGGAAGAAATGCCCAAGTGTCCAATTGGAGTTGTGCACATCATGTATGTTCAATTTTGAGTTTTGACAATATGGGCTCCCTTGGCCATGGTGTTTTTCGGCCACCAAGGTGGCTGGCCGGCCAGGCGAGGGTCACCATTTGGTTAGGGGGCTCAGATCTTGGTTTTGGGATCAAAATGTAAAGGTCTTAGATCAAAATGGAATGGAGAAAGGGCTATTTTTGGTCAAATTGGGCCCAATCATGGTTTGGGGCTGGGTTCACCCCTCAAGGCTGGTTTGGGTGCTGAGGGAAATCAAAAGGTTTAGCTTAATTAGCATGGCGAGGTCTCTATCCAAAGAGATATATTTTTGATAATAGTTATATTTTTGATGAGATATTAAATATTTGAGTATTATGTGCGTAAATATAAAAGTGAGGTGAGAAATTTAAGTGCATAAGAATTGTGTGTTAAGCATGTAAATGCCCCATAAATTTATATTAAATTTGTACATTCCTTTACCTATTTGTACGTATTTTTGTAGCCATCATTTTATTTTTGTGTTTAATTGTGTGTACAGATAGTCTCTAGTGATAGTCTCTCTCTCTCTCTCTCTCTATAGGCCAAGCTTTCCCCTCACCATTTAGAAAGCAATATATGTAGAAAAATGAATGATCAGTAAATAGTCTATAATGCTCTAGCCAATATAAACTAAATAATTTAAACTCATAAGTTCATAACCAAATGATATGAATGTATAATCTAACAAGTCATAAGGCAAATTGTCAATAGTTATTCATCCAATAAAGCTCAGATATATATGAAAGACACTAAAAAAAAAGTTATTGACCAAGTTTATGTTTGGTTATACCACCTCTTAGCTAGGAAGAAGATCTATTAACATAAATATATAAGATTTTTCAATGGGCCAATGTCTATATTGGGTGCTATAGATGGATAGATAACATTTAATCCTAAGTTTAATATATGTGTTAAAATTAAATCTTAACTTGAGAGGATCCATATAAATATACAGAACAAACTCTTAAAATTCTCACCCTAAGATTTGCCTCAAGTCACAGGTTATCATTCCTCAATACATTCAGTCCTTGACTCCTAAGAAATTAAAAGAAAATTCTGCAAAAATATTCATATATAAGCCCCCACAAAAACATCAAAAATGCCCTCAAATACTAAATTTACAAAAATATTAAAATTTGTATGCTGAGAGCAAACATTGTCTTCAATAGTATGCTAACTAGGAGTGTTGATGCATACAAAATATGTTATATGTGTGTATTATACCATTTATGTATAATTTTCATATCTTTAGGGCTATATATAGTGTTAATTGAAGGATACAAGTCCAGATCCAAAACTCGAGCACTTGGGAGCACAAATTAGGCTAAGGTAGGTTCAAACGCCTCGCCGCCTCAACTTGGCACCTAGATGCCTAGTGATGATCTCCTTCATGTTGAAAAATAGAGTGAATGTCATTCTAAAACTAAGACCCTAGCTCAATTGTGCCTACCTCTAGCATCTCAGCACCACCCTATTTAGTGCCCCGGTGCCTGAAGCCCTATATCTATGATCTAGGGTCATGAAACTCAGCACTCTACCCAGTGCCACTGTACCTACATTCAATGCCCTGACACCACCTTGTTTGTACTGTTGTGCTTCACGTTGACTTAAGACAGTTTTTTCGGTTTGAGCGATCCAAAGGGTTAAAATCACTTGATTCGATTTCACAAAAAATTATTGGATAGAGAGAGACTTAGTGATCCAAGAAGAAGACATTAGGAAGTGTGTGTGTGTGAGTGCTTAGAGCATGTAAGTAGTGTGATTTCTCTATTGTAAGTGTGAGAAAGTGATTTCAAGTGGAGTGACATCAACAACAAAAATCATGGTGGAGCATAATAAGATTCATATTTAATTTATTTATTCATTAGTTGTGTACACTTTCATTTCGAATTTCAATAGAATTTGCTTGGTTTTCTTTCCAAATGTTTGGGAACTAAGTAATTTATGCTTCTTTGACTAGGTAATATGATGAATCATGTTCAACCTTTGAGATTTCAATAAGATTATCTTGATGTTTTAATGAATGTTGTTGTGTTAAATTTTTTTATTTTCATTTACTTTCGATTGAGCCACTTAAAAAGTTAAAAAACACTTGTGATCGAGGATTATTGACCACACGCTAGATTAAAAAGTATGTTAACACTCAACCACTTTGTGGAATAGGAATATTGCCATTAGAAAATTGAAATTGTGTAGGGGGCTTTTTAGAGTTAAGCAAAAATTAGCTATAATATGAGGCTCTAATGCTTCTTACTTCTAAAAATATTTTAAGAAGTAATTTCCCTAACTGTTAACTTTAATTTTGAGAGATCAATTGGAAGAAAACTGAGGATTCATATGATCGAATTCGATAAAACATGATTTTCATATTAGGAAACTCAACCCATTTAAACTTTCTTTTGTAAAATTAGGATTTAGATACTATTAAAACTTTAAAAAATTTCATCATTTTCATTAAACTTAAGGTTAGTAAACTAGTACTTGATGTATAGAAAAGAGCACTTAAATTTCTATATGTTTTACACATTCTTATGGATAAAATTAAATTGTACTTTAAAGAAATGTATTTTAATGTTTTTCTTATAAGTACAACAGGTGTTAGATGTGGAGCAATGTGGAGAAGACCTAGAGCAATGCGGAGGAGACTTAAAGAAAAGGAGTTTACAAAAGACTAGCACCTAGAAGCTAGTCTCAGCCTAGCAACCCGAGAGGTTGGCACGTAAGCGTCACGATACTGGTGTGTAGGAGATGTGATTTTAGATCCTAGATGTCGTGATATTGTCCCTTAAGCATCGTGATACTGACACCTAGACGCAACAGTACTGGCCCCTAGGTGCCACTCATGGTGCCTAAGCGTCCAAGCCTTGTTCTGCAGACAAATAGACCGATGCCTAGGCACCAGCTCCTGAGCGCCTAGTTGCTAGCAATCGCCTGAGATAATTTTTTATAGTTTGATCACATTTCATGTGGAGTTATTCAAAATTCAATAGGGGTTTTGAGGCTATGCTTTACAATCTATTTCTGTGTCTATGTAAGAGGGATGAGTTGCTTACTGAAGGAAAAAGGGAGATAGAGTTTTTGTTACGGATTTGGAGAGGTTTCAAATTGTAAAGTGAGGGGAGTCTTCAAGACAGCATCAAGGAGTCGAGAGATCTTTGGTGGAGCATTTTTAAGAGCTTTGCAAAAGAGAGAAAGATAAATGTTGTGTTTGATTTAATGTATTCTTTTGTACACAATTATTTAGTGGAATTCTCTTGTTTTCAATGAAGCTTTGTTGTATGTTCTTCATGCTTTATGAGTGATACTTTTTATCTTACCTTATGATGTTTGAGTAGGATGTATAAGAGTGCAAAATATTTTTAAAATTATTTCTAAGTGTTTAATTTGATGTTTTACTTTTAGAAATTCATTTACTTTTCATTCTAGCCAAGGGAACTGTTAAAATATG